TCATTTTAAATGCATATTCATCACAAGATATAACTTCTCTGATAAGATATTGCGCATGCGCTGACAAACTAACGTAGCCAGATTGTGTACTGGCTGGTATACGCAGCGGGGACCTTACATGCAAGGTCTTCCTACTATTTCTTAAATGATGTCAACTAATGGAATGTTATCATATAAATCTATGATAGGATAACTCCTCATTATTATGAATGCATAATTTTTGCAAAATACGATTTCTCTCGGGAGATATTGCGCATGCGCGCGCACCGTGTTAGGCGGGCAGTGACGTCTGAGGCAAACTTCATAATATAGCTTGCTGCGGGGGGGGGGGGATGGGAGACTGCTGGGGAAAGACGGCAGGAAAGATATCTGGGGGCGGTAGAAGAAGAAGGAGGCTGAGCTAGGGACATGGGTTGGCAAGGGGAAGGACGCGAGGGCATAACGTAGGTGTTTTGTACCCTACATGCTAGGGCGCTCTCATAATTATAAAGACAGGTCTACTAATAAAAGTTTATTTGGGAAATCTATTCGGAGATACTCTCTAACCATTTTAAATGCATATTCATCACAAGATATAACTCCTCTGGTAAGATATTGCGCATGCGCTAACACACTAACGTAGCCAGATTGTGTACTGGCTGGTATACGCAGCGGGGACCTTACATGCAAGGTCTTCCTACTATTTCTTAAATGATGTCAACTAATGGAATGTTATCATATAAATCTATGATAGGATAACTCCTCATTATTATAAATGCATAATCTTTGCAAAATACGATTTCTCTCGGGAGATATTGCGCATGCGCGCGCACCGTGTTAGGCGTGCAGTGTCGTCTGAGGCAAACTTCATAATATAGCTTGCTGCGGGGGACCCTCGCGTCCTTCCGCTTGCCAACCCCTGACCCTCGCTCAACCTCATTCTTCTTCTACCGCCCCCAGCTATCTTCTTTGCCGCCTTTCCGCAGTTTCCCATCCCCTCTCAAAACACCTACTTTATTACCCTACATGGTTAGGAGAGCGCCCTATTATAAACACAGGTCTACTGATAAAAGTTTATTAGGGAAATCTATGCGGAGCTACCCTCTAACCATTTTAAATGCATATTCATTACAAAATATAACTCCGCTGGTGAGATATTGCGCATGCGCTAACACACTAACATAGCCAGATTTAGTACTGGCTCGTATACGCAGCGGGGTCCTTACATACAAGGTCTTCCTCCTATTTCGTAAATAATGTCTACTGATGGAATGTTGTCATATAAATCTATGCTAGGATAACTCATCTTTATTTTAAATGCACAATCTTTGCAAAATACGATTTCTCTCGGGAGATATTGCGCATGCGCGCGCACCGTGTTATGCGTGCAGTGCCGTCTGAGGCAAACTTTATAATATAGCTTGCTGAGGTGGAGAGGAGATGGAAGACTGAGAAAAAGCCGCAGGGAAGATAGCTGGGGGCGGTAGAAAAAGGAGGCTGAGCGAGGAACAGGGGAGGCAAGGAGAAGGACGCGAGGGCATAATGTAGGTGTTTTGTACCCTACATGCTAGAGCGCTATCCTAATTATAAACACAAGTCTACTGATAAAAGTTTATTTGGGAAATCTATGCGGAGCTACCCCCTAACCATTTTAAATGCATATTCATCACAAAATATAACTGTGCTAGTGTGATATTGCGCATGCGCTAACACACTAACATAGCTAGATTGTGTACTGGCTGGTATACGCAGCGGGGACCTTACATGCAAGGTCTTTCTCCGATTTCTTAAATGATGTCTACTGATAGAATCATATCATATAAATCTATGCTAGGATAACTTCTCTTTATTTAAAATGCATAATCTTTGCAAAATACGATTTCTATCGGGAGATATTGCGCATGCGCGCACCGTGTTATGCGTGCAGTGTCGTCAGAGGCAAATTTTATAATGTAGCTTGCTGAGATGGAGAGGGGATGGGAGACTGAGAAAAGGCTGCAGGGAAGATAGCTGGGGCGGTAGAAGAATAAGGAGGCTGAGCGAGGGACAGGGCAGGCAAGGGGAAGGACGCGAGGGCATAAAGTAGCTGTTTTGTACCCTACATGCTAGGGCGCTCTGCTAATTATAAACACAGGCCTACTGATAAAAGTTTATTAGGGAAATCTATGCGGAGCTACCCCCTAACCATTTTAAATGCATATTCATTACAAAATATAACTCCGCTGGTGAGATATTGCGCATGCGCTAACACATTAACATAGCCAGATTGTGTACTGGCTGGTATACGCAGCTGGGACCTTACATGCAAGGTCTTCCTCCGATTTCTTAAATGATGTCTACTGATAGAATCTTATCATATAAATCTATGCTAGGATAACTCGTCTTCAGTTTAAATGCATAATGTTTGCAAAATACGATTTCTCTCGGGAGATATTGCGCATGCGCGCGCATACAAAGCAAATACTTTATGCCTTCGCATCCTCCCCTTGCCTCCCCTGTCCCTCGCTCAGCCTCCTACCGCTCCCAGCTATCTTTCCTGCCGCCTTTCCTCAGTCTCCCATCCCCTCTCCCCCTCAGCAAGCTATATTATAAAGTTTGTTTCAGACGGCACTGCACGCTTAACACGGCCCCTACAAGGTAGGGCGCTCTCCTAATTATAAACACAGGTCTACGGATAAAACTTATTATGGAAATCTATGCTGAGATACCCTAACCATTTAAATGGATATTCATCA